AGAGATATATAGACATTGTGAGATATAAAGTCATAACTATGAAAAATAATTGTAATCTAAAGATCTAAATTCAAAAATTCAAGAAATAAATGTGCAAATGTGAGATATAAAGTCACAATTTCGAAAAATAGAGGTGCATTTGTAAAAGGACAAAGTGGTTGAGCCAGTGTTGCAGAAATGTTGTTACATGTGACCTCTGACCTATTGTTTCTACTAAAGGTGGCTTCTAATATACTATAGGCCAGGGTGCGAACTACGGGGGAGCTTGGCGCCCCTTAATAAGACATGGGCTCCCCTGAAAACGTGATTTGTGAAATTTTGGGGGGTCTCAAAAAATATTGACAATGTGTTATTTTGACGTGCAATTTCAGTTTTGTGTAATGTGATCATCGTGGATTATTATGTGTAAAATTGCAAATATAACATTCATTCAAGCATGACGGCGATTTAAACCTAATTCACTTCAATAAAGATAACTATACATGCTATTCTTGTCATGAGCATCAAGGTGTGGGGGCCACTCATGTTTAGTACATGTTAACTCAAAGATTCGTAGAAAAAATATAAATGTTGGACTCTGTGGTCGATTCTGTGTTAAGGTAAGGCATGTTATTTGCAATTATGTGTTGTGGCTGGGTTGTTATAGGTCTGTGTGACTCTCGATGTCTTAGGTCTAACTTTTTTTATGGTATTCTTCTGTAGCCTGACGACGAGTAACTTTAACCGTTGTTCATGTGAACTCAAAGACAGCCTGATGCTTTGTTTATAGACTATTTGTGGGTGGCTGTTTGTTGTTTCACCTATCAATTCGTGTCGATAAAGTATAATAGGGTAAATCCTGTATAGTGATTTATCCTATATAGTGCTTGCATAAAGCAAGTAGTGCATACAAAGATACATAACAGCTAAGTTACAAGTGTAAGTCATTGTAAGCCCTCTTTTGAGGCACGTGCAAACTCACAAACCTGTGCGTATGCTGATGAAAAGCACTTGGCACGGCAGTTAGATTTGTGGGAGGCTTACTGTAAGGAAGCAGGAAAAGCCAAGCTCTCCCTGTGGGAGTTGTTTTTCATAGGGCTGTGCGGTATGCATGTGTTGCCGGGCCAGTTCAGACCTACCTCATGGCTGGCTGGTTGGCTGGCATTCCTGCCTCATTCTGTAATTACGTCTCCACTCCTACAGAGATCGTCCAGAAGCCTGCTCTAAAAGCACTCATGTCTGTCATGTACTGGTCTCGTCTGAACAACACACACATGTAAATATACATGTTATGGACACAAAATGCCCCGATTCCCAAAACATCTGAATGCCATGCATGCATCTTGTTGCATTTTCCTAATTGGTTGTTTATCGAAGCAATTTGCTTCACCATTTAGTAAGTAAGTCGTCTGTTGCTATGGCCAACAGGTGGTAATAGTCTCATCCGACATTAGCATATTTCTCAAACCGCTTTCCTGAGGATAAAAGCTCCATTTAGTGTTCTTTTCAGATTTCAGCAGAAAAAAAGTAGGCTAGCACTTATTTTAACAAAGTACTTGATGGGTAATAATAGAGACACTGAAAGCTAAGGTGTGCAACATCTTTCATGAAGATTCTTTCTTTGAGAGCATCTTGCATTAAATCCCTGAATCTACTAATGAACGGTTTTTAATAAGATCCCACTGTGCGCTCCACTAATGAAGGCTTTTCACTGTGAGTGCGGAGAGTGCACAGAAACACATGAGGGCAATGTGACGTTCAGGCCGCAGGAGTGCAGATAAGAACGACAGTGTGGGTTCAGACTGACCTGGAAGCCATATTCAGTGATACTGACAGCCAATAAAAGAGACAATGATGCGGTCTGTTCGAGCTCATTAAAGGCAAAGGGTAACGGAGGCTATTAAAATGTCTATATATGGTTTTCCATATAAGGTTTGTATGTTAGTCACTTATCAGTTCAGAATGGAGTTAATAGAGCTAAAGAAATATTCATACTTTTGACTGATCTTTTTTTTCATATAAATGACAATAAAAAATATAAATGTTTTAATCTAATTGACTTTATAAATATATAATATTTGACTTTATAATTATATATTTATATATAATATAATATATAGATTATATAGTATTGTAATCAATAGATATATAAACTACCAAACTTTTTTTTTAAAGAAAATGATTACTTTTATTCAGCAAGTACACATTAAATTGATCAAAAGTTACAGTAGATATAAGACATTTATAATGCTACAACATTTCTAACATCCTTTTTTTTTTTACATTTCCACAAAAATATTAAGCAGCATGAACTTAACATTGATGATAATAAGAAATGTTCTTGCAAGAAAAGAAAAAGAAGAAAATTCTGCTGAAAATTCAGCTTTGCAATCACAGAAATAAATAGTTTTAAAATATATTAAAATTATCAAATTGTTACAATTTGCTACAATTCAAATTGTAATAACAAAAAATTAAAACATCTTATTGACCCTAAACTATTTTTATAAATTATTTATAAACCTGATATTATTTTTATTACCTAAGTTTATCAGAGATGCTATTAAAACAACCATAGACAAGGAAACTATTAATTAAAGTTTGGAAACTTAACCAGAAGCATGTATTAAAATCATTCCAGTTTTCACAATGTTGATTAGTTTTATATCGCTACCAAATATATAGCAAATATTCAATACACTTTCTAGCTTTAGTCTAGAGCTCTTCCAAACACTGAATGAAGGCTGACACTAAAATAGCTTCACCAAATAGTATGAACTATGGCAGTAGACCACCATACATGTGGCATAAACCACAAGCATCAAAATGATAGCTCAAAATGCATTGCTTTAATTTTCTTTCTCTTTGTACCACCTAACAGTGTGTATTTAGTTATATGAAACACATAATGTTTAACTCATTTGAAGCAAGCATTTAGTACATTGCAAAATACACTCAATAGTTTCTATGAGAGGAAAAACAATTACACAAGCTATGTTGCTGTGTTGCAAATTGAGAATATATTAGCAGTACGTGAAAACATCATTCTTGGTGATGTCTGAACAATCTGGCCCATTCATGCAGCACATGCCATGCCTGCAGCACGGGGATTTAGACGATCAGCTGAGTGCAGCTTCCACTACAATACAACATTGTTCTCAAACGAAACGCTGCTTTTTTGCCTTCAAACTCTGTTGTGCGGCTTATCGGAAAAGCACAGCTCCAAACCTCCCTCTGAGCTTGCAAACTCAAATCAGTGTGTGTCCATTTCCTGCTGCTCACTGTCAAACAAGCACTGCGCTCGCCCAAAAGCCTTCTGAAATGCTGGTTTGTTGCTGTTGCATGTGCAAAAGAACTTTGAACATGAGCTGAGGCAAGAAAGAGAGCTGAACAGGAAAAGGAAGAGATCTTGCACAATTTGAGAATACACCTGACAGAAAAATACACTCAATACTCTCTTTAAAAGACAAAGAAAAAAAAAATGTAAAATTGTCTGTGAAATGTCTTTGGAGTGGACCCTTATGTCAAACTTAAAAATGTGTATTTTATATAAATTATATGACAAAATATCAAAGCAAGTTGAATCTTCTTTTAAAGCAAGACAGCACAAGCACATAGAAGATTAAATTCTAACAAATATACTGTTCGTAATGAAGACACTTTATAGTTGTCAAATATTAGCAGAACATGTTCATATTTAATGTTAAATAGGGTCCCACTTTATATTAAGTGGTCTTAACTACTATGTACTTACATCAAAAAATCAGTACAATGTACTTATTGTGTTCATATTGTATTGCAAAACACTTTTGCTGCTATTGAGGTGGGAAACAGGTAAGGTTAGGGACAGGTTTGGTGGTATGGGTAGGTTTAAGGGTGGGTTAAGGTGTAAGGGATGGGTCAACAGTGTAATTATAAATGTATTTACAGAAATTAATCACAGATGTAATTACATGCAGATATTTTTCAAATATAAGTACAATGTAAAAACATGTATGTACACAATAAGTGCATTGTACCAAATGCTCAATTTAAATGTAAGTTAAGGCCACTTAATATAAAGTGGGACCTTAATTAGTTATGAGAAATGTCACTTGATCTGATATTTTGTATCCAATGCAATCACATATATTGTGATTTAAATGGTGTGATTTTAAACTCCACATACTCTCGTGCCTGTTTAATGTGGAACCTGTAAAGCATCACAGGATCAAACAGGGACTGAAGGCACTTCCTTTTCAACACTTGTCTTCCATTCCTCATCACTGAGATGCATGCATGTGAAACAAACCATGGCCCACGTTCTTTCAGACATGGAAATCTGTGTGCTTTGATAAGATTTGCTGCTCGTGCCTGAATGACATATGTTTCTTGTTATCTGTGAACATGAAATTTGTCTTGTTCTTGTTACCCTGACAACAGCAAAATCAACCAAGTAAGCTATAGTCACATCTTTTTGTACTGAAGCCAAATATTAAAGACAATATATTAAATATTAAAGTCATGTTCTTGTCTTCATATCTTCATATCTAAGATTGTCTTTCAGAATAATTCTCTGGAAATGCAAGTCCTGACCTGGAATGGGTGTAAATATAATGTTTAAATAGTACTATATGAATTTATGCATTTATTTAATCAAAAATACATTAAAGCAGTAATATTTTAAATAACTGTTTTAATATATTTTAAAAATTAATTGATTAATTTGATTGCAAAGCTGAATTTTAAGCAGACATTAATCCAGTATTCAATGCCACATCCTTCAAAAATCTTTGAAATATGCAGATTCGTATTTTTATTTATGTTGACAAGAGTTGTGCTGCTTAATATTTTGGTGGAAACCGAAAAAAAATAAAATAAATTCAGGATTCACTGATGAATAAAAAAGCATTTATTTGAAATTGGTTTTATAACAATGTAAAAGTCACTGCCACTTTTGATAAATTTAATAAGTAAAAATATTAATTTCTTACAAAAAAATCTTACTGACTCCAAAAGGTAGTGAATGGTAGTGTATATGAGATTAATAAAAATGTGAAAAATAGATATTCATTTATTTTTCACATTTTTATTTATCTCATGTATATGCTGCAAACCTCCAAAACTTGCTATCTACTGTTCCCACAGAAGCGTTATTGTGTTTTAATCTCTTTTTCCATGCCTTTCTTCCCTACACATACAAAATAAAACTAATTATGTTTAAAACCCTCCCAGCACTGCTCACCTGCTGATTATATTGTGAAAGCTGTGGTCACAAACAATATAAAATATAACACGTTTGCACACACGCATATGCTTTTTACTTATTGACCCAGTGGTTTTGTGCACACGCTGCTTTCTGGCACATAACAGCTCAACCTTCTTATTTGCTTTTCCACTTTAATAGATCAGTGGTTTTTGGCTTGTCACTGGAAGGCCTGAAACCACAATAAATCACCCTGATAATCATCTACTTTTTACTTACTAAGCCGTAGGAGAGATGCTTTTCACTTTTTTCAGTTCACTTATGCAAAACAACTGATGCCTGTGGCTATGTAAACTAAATGCATTAGAAAGCATGTAGCGAACATAAATTACGCTTACTTACCTATATAGAGAGAGGAGTCCTTCTTCCGCACATGATCGTCTATGTAGGACACACCCAGGGGCTGAACAGGTGTGGCACCAATACCCAGCAGCATCTGGGCTCCAATCAGAAGCAGGTACATCATGTTGGTGTTGGCTCTACTCCCACACGGTTCATCAGCTTTAGAGGTGTTGGAGCACACGTCTCGCCCCAGATCCTTGCTCCACGAGTCTGTGATCTTGTACTGACTGGTGAGGAATTCTGGTAATGCGGACAGCAGTGCTCCCAAAGCCATGACAATGCCTCCACAGCCAATTAACCGAGGGCGGTGGGCTTTAGCACCAAAATAACTAACAAAGAGAATGAGGGCCAGGTTGCCGATCTCAAAGCTGCTGGCGATGACACCCACATCAGCGCTCTGAAGATTGAAGCGCCGCTCCAGTGTTGTCAGCACGCTCACCTAAGATAAACAAAGCAGAAGAATTACTGTAATGTTAATTTAAAATAGTTGTAGGTACGATATCACCATTTCACATATTACGGTAGCTGAACCGGACGACTATTCTATTCAGCACAGGTTGGTGTTCAGGCAAGTGATGTACAGTGTAAAAGTTGATGTGGCATTATAACGGTTGAATTTTGTAATTTTGTTTAAAGGCACAATATGTAGGATTTTTTTATTAAAATATCCAAAAACCACTAGAACAGTGTTATATTGCTGACTTGTGTACTTACATTATAGTGTAAGGGAAGTCGTGGCCTAATGGTTAGAGAGTCGGACTCGTAACCCAAAGGTTGCGGGTTTGAGTCTCGTACCGGCAGGGATTGTAGGTGGTGGGAGTGAATGTACAGCGCTCTCTCCCACCTTCAATACCACGACTGAGGTGCCCTTGAGCAAGGCACCGAACCCCCAACTGCTCCCCGGGCGCTGCAGCATAAATGGCTGCCCATTGCTCCGGGTGTGTGTTCACGGTGTGTGTGTTAAATGGGTTAAATGCAGAGCATATGGGTAACCATACTTGGCCACATGTCACGTCACTCACTCACTTATCCCAAACGTTTCGAAGAATGTTTAAATCCAGACACAAACTAGTGACATGGACCATGTCCATAGTGTCATTGTGTCGCCTGCCAATGACGTCATAACCCCTCGATTTCCGTCTATTTTTTGTTTTGTAAAAAACATGGAAACACCAAAGACGCTTTAATATGTTGTGCGTTTTAATAGACCGGTGACGACTGCACGAGTAGCATTATAACAGAACTTTCAAACGTATCTACTATGATAAAACAGCGCTGCTTTTTTTCCCCACGTTTAAATAGACCGGTGCGACCGCCACGAGTAGCATTATAACAGAACTTTCAAACGTATCTACTATGATAAAACAGCGCTGCTTTTTTTCCCCACATACTCACGACCGGAAGGAACGGAAGCGGTTGACTGTGGCATAATAAAAGCTCCGCTGCTTTCGAGCCGTGTGTCGCGCTCGTTCAGCGGCCTCGTTTCGCTCACCCTGCTTCATTCTACTACGTTAATAAATCATTAGCTCATCCATGAACATGATTTCTGCCCGAGTCCCGTCGGATTGCATCAGCTGTGGGGATGAAGACGACAAATCCCATGATTCCACACTCAGTCACCGTGTCATCTAACTACGCCTTTGTCTATTTGTTTATTTTGAATATGCGCCCTCTAGCAGCGAAAATTACATATTGTGCCTTTAACAGGATGTTTAACAAAAGCAATTTTTCTTTGTATGGAATAACTTAATTATCATCAAAGCTTGTATGAAATTGCATGAATGCGATTCTTTTTCTACAAAAATCTTAAAAATATATAGTACATATAACGTCTTTTAAAGAAGTCTCTTATGCTCACTCTTAGGCTGCATTTATTTGATCAAAAATTCAGTAAAACAGTAATTTTGTGAAATATTATTACAATTTAAAATAACAGTTTTCTATTTGAATATGTTTTAAAGCATATTAAAATTAAAGCTTTGTTAAGTTCACATAATCTTTCAGAAATCATTCTAATATGCTGCTTTGGAGCTTCAGAAACATTTATTATTATCAATGTTGAAAACAGTTGTGCTGCTTAATATTTTTGAGCAACATTGGAGGCCTAAGAGTGTTTACTCTCACTTTTGATAAATGTAATTTATCCTTGCTAAATAAAAGTATAAAATCATTTATTAAAAAAAAAATACAAAATTGACCCCAAACTATTGCACAATATTAGCTCCATTTTCATTTTGTCAGTCCCCTAAGGCTGTTTGCTTTATTTGATATCAGTACTAAACAGGCACAGGCTGTCATCATACAGAAGTCAAATTCGACTCTAAACAATAAAATACCAAATCTAATCTAACCTGAGAGTCATCTTGGAGAGGTAACGTGTGACGATAAAGATCAGCAGCAAAGCTCAAAGAGAGGAACTGTCTTCACTTTCGCTACTATTTACCCAAGATGTGAAAATGAGATACAGTAATGGATCATGGAAATGGGCATGTTAAAGTAATCAAATCCCCAATCAATCCAAACACATCTATTCAAGGGTGGAATAAAAGGACAATAAACCCATGTCAAAGAAGAGAACTCATGACCCAGAAAAATAATCATCTTGACAAATCCTTTCAATCTTTGAAAACATCAGCATGCTACTTGTCACACATTCATTATCAAGGCTTATGACAAAAATAGCTGGTGAAAGTGAAAAAATGCCACCAGGCAGCCTTGATGAGCAATCATGGGACTTTAATGAAGCAGCTTTGAGCTGGAGCAACACAAATATGGCATGGCTGTGAAAAGAGCATGTTATTGAGGACACGCTCTTTTCTATAATCCTATTTCTCTAGAGCAAGCCTCTCTCAGATGCTGCGTAGTGATCTTTGCAAATCTCCCCATGCTACATTACAGATTCCTACAGACTGGATCATTTTGATTTGATAAACAAGATAATATGCATGAATTCTCTCGATTAGCTACATACACAGTTCTCTGGAATACTGGATTCTGATTGGTCATTCGTGGCATTAAGCGACAATGTGATTACACGGACCGATATTTTGTATGATGGCCAATAAATTATATTTCACTCTTGTCCAAACATAACAATGCTTTCTCTTTTCAAACAGATGTTAGAATAGATGTCACAGTTTTGAGTGTGTGTGTGTGTTTGTGTGTGTGTATAGATAGATTTACAGTTTAAATGAATATCAGATGTCCATATATTTATTTTACTTGGTAATTAGTCTTGTAAAAAGAGGGATAATGTACAATCTGCCAGTCATTATTACAAAAAACTCCTTAAATCTATTCCTTTCTCTCACTCTGCAAGTTTCCATATAGCTTTTAATGCAAGTCAATGAATAAATTTGTCCAAGAAGGATAGCATCAATTGTACATGCACTTGATGACGGTTTTTACCACACTATCCAGGGTTATTTAGGCCTCTATGTGAATCATGGCGATTCTAGTGTCAGCTGAACTTCTGAATAGCACACCTCAATGGATGGATTGATATAATTGTGCAGTGTGAAAAATAAAATTTCTGTTACCAAATCATCGGTATAACACTGTAAATTATGTGCAGAGGAAGAGATTCCTAAACAGTTCAAATGCATGATGTGAATAATGAGTTTATTGTGGGCTTTAAACAGAGCAGTGATGTTGTTGTTATAACTGTCTGATAACTCAGTTTGCTTTAACTCAATTTTCTGTGGTTAGCTTGGTGCAATTTAATTGGAAAGTACCTTGGACAGTCTGGCAAACTGCTCTGTTTTGTGCAGAACTGTTGACTGTGGCACATTTGCAGTCTGCTAGAAGCCAGACTTAAAGGTGTCTTGTGTTTCAGTTAGTAATATGAAACATGCAAAACACTTCTCACTCCCTTACTGATAAACTGCAAGGAACATAGTACTGTTCATGCATATACTGGTGACACAATTTGAATATCAAAGCTACTTGGTCAATGTCTATAATCATTCTTCACATCTTGAATATCTTTCTATCAAAAAGGTGTCTGTGTTCATGTGAGTGTGTGTCTAAATTCATGAATTCATCTAAACTTATGAAATAATAAGAGATTATATCTTACCAACAACATTTCCACTGTGCCAGTAGATAACTATTTTAAAGGGGTCATATGATGCGATTTCATTTTTTCCTTTCTCTTTGGAGTGTTACAAGCTCTTGGTGCATAAAGAAGATCTGTAAAGTTGCAAAGACTAAAGTCTCAAATCCAAAGAGATATTCTTTATAAAAGTTAAGAGTCAGCCACGCCTACCTAAAACGGCTCGTTTTAACACGCCCCAACATACCTACGTCGCTCTGTGGGAAGATTTGCATAACGCCGCCCAAATGTTCACGCAAAGAAAGAAGGCGTAACTTTTATTCTCGCTGTAGTTTTGTTGTTTCCACCACCATGTCACAAAGACGCTGTGTGCTTCGTTGTAAAAGCGAAACTACTTCGTTTGGTCTTCCAAAAGAGGACAATATCTGGATCGGCTTTCACCGTGGAGTCCAGCCCGGAGTCGTCACATGTCCTTCTGGACGCTCCTTCGTCGAAATCGCCGTCGAAATCATTATAATGATGCGCAAAGCCGACCTCATACATCATCCGCCCGGAATGGCTTCCGTTTACAACAGAGAGCGCAAGCTAGATTAAAGTGATTATTACGTTGGATTCGTTTGAAAGAAGAAAGTCATATACACCTAGGATGGCTCTGGGGTGAGTAAAAAACAGCCTAATTTAAATTTTTGGGTGAACTAACCCTTTAATGCCAAGACACATTCAACATGCCAACAACGTAAAGTAATGCCAAATCTCTGTTGACTCCACCGTGACGTACTCACACCCATCACCCTCTAATCCCTCAGCATTAAAACCAAATTATTAGGAAGACAATGAATAACTGAACAATGAGACAAAAATGTCTATCATGTTATTATTGAGTCAAGCTGAAATTTCATAATAGGCAGGCAATGACAAATTCCTGAGTGCAGAACAACAAGTCTGTATCATTCAAGTGTGAAATGGTTTCTAGAACATATGCGCTATCAGGCATCCTCCAGCAATCCGTGTTTGATTTCCAACATGACAGAGACTCAGCATTGCCTTATCAGTATGACAGGAAACAGAACAACAATAGTACTTATACTTTCCATGGTTTCTACAAAAATAGGGTGGGCCAATAGAAAACAGTGATGTTTCACAAATGAATTCCTTTGGGTGCAGTGCAAACCTCTTTTATTGATTTTAAACTGTAGTGATGTTCTTTCAAGCAATTTAGGGTAGTAGACTGTACCAGATGGAGAATCAAAACAGTCTATTGGTTTAAAAAATATTGTTTAAAAGAACAATAATTCAGAGAATCAATCATTTCAAAGGATAAAATAAATAAATAAATGACTGCTAAATTCCCACTGCATTTGCACTTAGTGTAAATAGAATCCATTGCTAATACAAGATTTGAAAAGGGAGGGAAAAAAAAGTTCGGCAAAAGGCGGGATCGAACCAGGGTCGAACGCGTCAAAAAGCCAACAACACGCACTTATCCATCTGTTGTGCTTTCTGAATTGTTATTTTGTTTTTGAGACTTGCATTTGCGTTTGTAATTTGTTATTTTGTTTTCAGAATTGTGATTTGTTTTGCACTTCACGGCCACCGTACGTGGATCTAGGGCTGCTCGATTATGACAAAAATCATAATCACAATTATTTTTGGTCAATATTGTAATCACGATTATTTAACACGATTATTAGTGGGCCATATGACCAAAACTTTATATGAAATATTTATTTAAAGATAGTGATATATATCAAATATATATTTTCTGTAAATGAGGTTTCTATGACATCTACATTTTAGAGGCCAGCGAAATGTCACAATTCTCAATAGCACAGCAGAATACTAAAGTAACTAATATTAGTAAAAAAAAAAAAGGTCCTCAAAATGATTGAAAATAATTAAACTGCCAGTAATAAAAAAGCAAAGGAATACAACAGAATAAAAAGAGATACAAATGAAACAAACTGTGCTTTAAGTTTTTTAATACCTAGAGTATTCAGTTTTTGTAAAGTCTAAAGTATTCAGTTAACAGCCTACTAGATAAATTGAATAATCTAATGTAAAATAAAACAGCATTGTCTTCACTGTAAGAATTAAACATCCTTTGTTTCTTATTAAACCTACAAAAGTCCTTCAGTCTAGAGCAGTGAGTGATTTTGAATTTGTCTTTTGTTGTTTGATTAATATAAAGCACACAGTTGGCAGCATGAATATTAGCCCGCTGTCACTTTAAGAGCCGAACGGATCCAATTTACTGTTACACAAGTATTTTCATTCTCAACTCTTTTCGTTCATTTATTACATAACCGGCGAGGGTTTACATGAATAATCACTAAGCGCTGCATTTTTACACATTTTTGCGTGCATTTGACCGTTTAGGCACTAAAAGTTGACTTTACATGTCCGTGTTCTGTTCCGTCTCTGTGCGCATACAGTAGTAATCCTCCAGAGGAACAGCGCAAGTTCTCTTTCTCGCTTTTAAAAACATGAATAAATCTAATATACTTCAAAAAATCAAGCACGTCCCATTTTGCTAAAGTCTCGTTACATGATTTTACTGATTTGCACGTGAAATTGGGCTTTTATGGAGGAGCAAAAGAGCACTGCTGGAAAGGGGGCGGAATGGGACGCAAAAATCGTTCTCTCTCGTTTACTCTATTTTCATAATCGTTGGAGGCCAAAATCGAAATCAAAACTGAATTTCAATTAATTGCACAGCCCTACGTGGATCTATGCATCAGTTATTGATTGAATTTTGAGATTTGACTGCTGCACTCAAAAGTGGATACAGATGAATGTAAAGTTGCAGGGATGATGTATTTTTGTAGGCCAACACCTGGAAACAAATTAGCATTTCATTTTAGCATTTCTGGTTCTATCATCCTGAAGTCAATATTTCAAATGCTTGAAATAAGGTATGTGGTTAACAGAAGCTCAAGATATTATGTTTTATTCTACGACTTAAAAAGCTCAGGCCTGGGGCTAAACGTAGGCCTATGAAACTGATAAGGTCTGTGAAATAAGGTCTGTGGTTAACACAAGCTCAATATATTTTCACGTTTTATTGCATCAGTAACACTGCCTTGTTATGTTTTTAAAGCTGTTACTTGTCTTGAAAAAGGCAGTTGCTTAGAAGTGGCTAAGTAAGCAATAAGGTACAAGAGGCCATGCTGTATGAATAAGTCTGCTTCACGTCGTGCCTAACAACACCCTTCATCCATGACTAATTCCCAATACAGCATGCCTCGAGTACTTTACTGCTTTTATAAAATGGTTACCACACAATACAAATATTAAAGCCAAAATGTATTGATATGTTACTTTTTTTTTTTTTTAAGTAAATTCATTAAATGCTATCCTTCCGCTAAAAAATAGTTCCTGACAGTCACAGCTGGCAAGAGAATGTTCCTAGGTGTAACCTGCTCTCATCTTATGGAGCTCAAATAAAAACAGAGAATAGGAACCGTTCTCATCCGCTATGTCATTTCTTTTTTTTAACATAATATCCACCTTATTTTTCAACAAGGAAGTAAGACGTTTTCTGTGAATGTGCAAGACGTCCGGATCATTAACCGCTGAAGGGAAATAACGAGAAGAATATCAAAGTGCAGTATACGGTATAAAACTGTTTGCACTACAAACCAGTGTGTTCGTAATTGAGATAATACATTAAAATAACATGGTAAGACACACTAGTTTGCAATATCAAGCAACAGTTTTGTACAGCTAAAAATAGCTGGACGCGAATGACACCAGAAGCCTCGCACATTAAATTTACAAATGGCCGCACCCGCTCTTACGGGAAAAATAAGGTGGATATGAGATTTTCTCACATACATACATCTAGCATGAGAAAGCATCTGTTTCCCATCTTTTAGTTTAAAACAGACTGATTCATGGCACAGCACATGTTTGCAAGCGTCATTACAGTGTAAATTGATGGACATACTCTAGCATACCTGAAACAGAAAAGTAGGGCTAGGAGATATAGCTAAAAAATAGATCAACGATATATGTTTCATATAGTTTGGTATCGATAATTATTGACATTTTTTATAACCTTTTTTAAAACAGAGCAATAGAAAAAAATGTTTAAATTTAACCACTGTATTTTTAATTTGCCACTTTATTAAGACAAACAACAAATATATATA